TTATTTTATTTTATTTTTTAACAAACGACACCTGGCAGAAACGACATGAAGGAAAAACATGAATTTAATCCATTTATTGCTGATTTCTGTTTCCTTTTGTTCGACGTTTGAAGCTGCAGCCTCCTGGTTTTAATATGCAAACTTTATGCAAAAGCCAAAATAAATTTCCCTACATCCTATTTAATAATATTTACTGGTGTAGATAATTTGAATGTCTGAGTCCAGTTTGAGTAGAAAAAACTAGAAAGCCAATGTTTCATTTTGCACTCAGACACAAGACTCATTTTTAATGCATTTTTAGTTAAGTCCAGTAATATTTCACACTGTGAATTCGTTTGATTTTGTTTATAAATGTTTAATAATAAGAGCTCAGTTTTATTTAGGGTTTTTTTTATCATGCTGTAAGTAGCAATTTATGGATTTCTACAAAAATGTTTCCGTTGTAGAATGCAGAAAATGACCTTTTATTTTTATTTTTTTTTAAATCTAAATAAAATCATTTTTTCAAGAAATAATCAAAAATTCAAAGATTTGTGATAAATAACTCGCATCAGCCATAGAAGTAATTTAAGTTTGGTAAAGAAAAGATTCTCACTTGGTGCCTTTTTTATTTTGATGCATTTATTTTTTAGCTTTTTCAGAAAAAGCTGTTGGTATAAAAATAGTTTTGTTTTGCTCTTCCACAGGAAAGTGGTTGTTTTGGTGAGTTTAGTCCCTTTTATTTATGTAACAGGAATATTTTATCTGGACCTAACCTGGTTTCACTTTGTGCTGCTTTTTTAGCATTCCTGAGCTTTAGGCAGTGAGGAACGTTAAACCTGGAAACATCAACAGAGAGAAATACTTGAGTTTAAAAACAATTTAAAAATAATTAAGAGTTGGTGAAACCTTGTTTTTAGAGAACATTAGAGATTTGATTTTTCACATTAATATCATCTTAAAAACTAATTTTGTAAATGTTTTTGTACTCGTCAACACGTTATTTTATCAGTTACTTATTGTTAAACCATGAGCCGGTTAGGCCTGCTGCAATAAATCAATTAATTGCATGATAAGTTAAAACAAGCCCAATAATTTACACTTTTATGATTTGTTGTTTTTCTCTGTCTACCAGAAACTGGATGATAAAAGTCTTCAGTTTGGTAAAATCTAATCCTTTTTCTAAAGGACAGTTTTGTTGACAGAGACTTCATGATTCATTTTATTTGTTGTTTATTTTGTTTTATTTATTTATGTTGGATATTTAAAATGTCTTCCAGTTCCAGAGTTAAATGTTTTAGTATTTTAAGTTCATTCATCTTTGAGAGTGTGTTCTTGCATTATTATGCCATTATTACCAATGTATTAGTTGGAAATGGTCTCAGAACAACATTATTGTTTATCTTAACTTCTGGAACAATTAAAACCCAGTAGCCTTTGTTATCCTGACAGGTCTGATTATAGCTCCAGATTTCCACACTAATGTCATGTAAAAGCTCATATTTTGATGTTTTTGTGCTCGTTCTACGGGTTTATTTGTTGTTCTGGGTCGGATGGTGACGCTCTGCGTTCTCCCAGACCCTGTAATGAAACGCGGTTCTGTTTGTTTACCTTCTAATGAAGTCTCTGTCCGGTCTGAGCTGCTGATCGTTCGGTTCTGAAATCGCCTGCTGGGAGTTTGACTTTGACTGCAGGACATGCTGGAGTGTTTGTCCATGGATTGTTGTACTTGGACCGTGATAAGGTTGTCTGCCAAGCACAGGAGAAAACAAACAGCCCTGATAGTGGCAGTATTTATATCCCGTTATGCAACACTTGGTTCTTTTCTCTTTTTTTTTTTTTTACCCCCGTTGGTGCTTCTGCTTCTATTGTTGGGTCAAACTCCTCGGCGATATCGATCCAAACTACCAGATAATGAAGGAACGATGCGCCTGCTGCAGCTGCTGCTGAATTGTAGCATTGATGGATGTTTTCTTTCCATCAGCTTCCTGTTTGCTGAACCAAACCAATTAAACTTGTTTGGATAATTAGCAGAAACAATCGGATTAGCTGCTCAGATCTGAAGTGAAGCAAACTGATGGAGCGCCGCGGCGGTTTGTGGCCCGGTTACCGACCGCGGCTTTCCTGTTGCACTGCAGCAGCGTTTTGTTTTCAGAGTGTGTTAAAGCCTTTTGTGAACCCCTCGCTGTCGCCCACTGACTCTGAGGCTAACTTTGGAGTAAGCTCTGTCAGGGCTTAGCCTGCGGTAATCCCGCTTTAAAGCAACAAGCAGCAGGCTGGTATTTATATCCACTTTTCCCTGCCTTTTCCGTCACTTCGCCGTCCTTCTGCCTCCACTTGGTGATTCCTGCTCTGTTATAAATACAGCTTCACGTTTTAACACTCACCTTTAATATTTCTCATATTTTTAGTGATGCATTTACTAATTTTAACCTGATTGATTTCCTTTTTTGGGGTTATCTATTGATACAAGTGTTGACTTTCTGTTTAGATGTTTTTACAAGATGTAGAAAATATAAAATCATCTTACATGTTGCCACTAAGAAGAGATATTTGTAATAAAACTACAACAATTAGACCTGTTGCATGAAGTCAATTGAATTTGTTTCCATTTGCTTGATTTATTGTTTTCATTTCTACTAAAGCTGGATGATAAAAATCTTCAGTCTCAACTAACCGTTTTGTTGAAGGACAGTTTTATTTAGCGACTTAATTCATTTTATTTATTGTATTTTTTATTTATTTTGGATATTTGAAGTGTCTTCCAGCTCCAGTGTTAAATGTTGATTAAAATTTAAAGTTTATTGAACTTTGAGACAGTTTTCTTCCATTGTTATGCCTTTATTACCAATAGTCTTAAAACAGTATCATCGTTTATTGCAATAACTTCAGGTTGAATTTATTGTGACCTGCCTAAACAACATTGCACTTCTGAAGTTTGTGTGTTATCTGCTTTAGGTTAAATATATCCTGTGTGCCATAAATTGCCTGTTTTTTGTAAACTTTTACCTTTATTATGTTTTTTAATTGACCATGAAACAGAATATCAAATGCTTCATTGCAGAAATAAACAGGAAGCAACAGATTTCCAGCAAACGGTTCCAGGTCTGTAACTGTCACTGTATTTTGGACTTTATTGCTGCTTAATGGAGAATATTTTTTTTTTTAAATTACCTTCGCAACTCACAAAAGTCAGAAACTTTTAGCCTAAAACATTTGACGATGATTGAACCGATGAATCATTATCGTAATTAAAATAATTATCAACTAACTGGAGTAAACACTCAAAAAGTGATTTAATGAGTTTATTGCGCTCAGAGCTGTAATCAAACCAAAACTTTACAAATAATCTCAACATGTTGCACTTAAGTAAAAACGCATAAAGAAATGCTGTTTTTGCATTTTAGGCAATAAAATGTTTAACTGAAACAGATATTTGTTTAAAACTTTTAATGTGTTTGTAAGATTGAAGCTTATTTATGTAAATGAAAAATCTGCAGAATGTGCCGATTAATTATCAGAATAATTGAGAACAAAAATATGACTCTTAAAGATCTGTTGTAAAATGTGTTACCTTAAAATGTAACAAAACTTAAAAGGCCTTTTGTTACATTTTAGGTTTTGGTTTCAGTTTTACTGTCAAAATGTTTGATTTTTAAAGATAAAACTTGAGTTGTAGATGGACAAAAAAATACAGAAAAATGGGCCAATGCTACTAACCCCTCTTATAATCTCTAAAAGACATCTTAATCGTTTTGAACTTTAACACATTAAAAACAGAAATAGAAAACATTTGCAGATGTTGTTTTATTCTCATCAATTTGTGTGTCAGTTCATTAAATTTTACCAGGAGAAAAAAAATCTATCACGTTTTAAATAAATAACTCTTGCTGGACGATGACAAATCGTCCCTGAAGTTATCGCGATAAATAATCAGATTGTTTTACACACCTGCATCAAATGACGGCCCGTTAGAAGGCAGAACACTGACTTGCTGAGGAAATCGTTACTCCCACTAGGGAGAGAACTAAAACATGCAGGGTGCCGGGCCTCCAGGACCCACTTTGGACACCCCTGGTCGAGATCAAGTAACTAGAGAGAAAATTAAATCATTTAATTCATCATGTAGTTAAATGTTTTGTTGTTTATGATGACAGACTTACTGGTTTAACATGAATTTCCAGTCTAAAGGATCTGGATCTGGACTTTTTTTAAAAATCAGTTTGGGTTTGTTGAGCTCTCCTTTAGTTCACAGCTGCATATTGATTGCACCGTTATTGATTCGGTCACTGATACAAACTGACCCGACTCCGAACCTCTGCAGCTTCAGGGCGCAAACATGTTACACGCCTGGTTTTCATGTGACGCAGCTGAAACGTGTTTGGATGAGAAGTGGTTAAAATCCTGGGAAATGATCGTTTCTGTGTCCATCATGGCGGTGTGTTTTCCTCTGCGGTGTGTGTGGTACGTGTGAAAACGCATGATAAGCAGAGACTCGATAAACCTGCTGAATTCCTGAGATAACGCGAGCGAAAGAGGCGAGGACGGAATGTGAGCTTACTGGGAGATAAATGGGATTTAAGTTTATTACAAACAAGCTAACTCTGCTTCATACAGTCACACAGAAAAGCTTCTAATAAAGACGGAAACGTCAGACTGAAGAGGAAGTGGTTTCACATGTTCGGCTTTAGCAGAGCGACCTGGTTTAAGAGACGTTTTCCACATATCAGGGTTTTCTCTTTGCCAAAGTCTTCTCGTTTGCAGAACGTGTGTAAAGAGGGAAAAAGAAGCGAGTACCTGTGGAAACGGCTGCAAGTCTGAACTGCTAACAGAATTTGACAGCATTTGGCTGGTGGGAGGTGTTAGCTGTCCAGTCTGGTGGTCTGCTGCGCAATCCAAGCATCACATTTTAATGATGAATGTCAATCTTTGTTTGGCCTCCTTTGAGGCTCACAGTACACGCTTGTCCTGATGTTTCCTCCATAAATGGTCTTATTTTTATTATCTTTCTCTTGTCGCAGTGAAGGGCTCCCGGCCGGGGAAGAACGTCCAGCTGACGGAGAACGAGATCCGTGGCCTTTGCCTCAAATCCAGGGAAATCTTCCTGAGTCAGCCAATCCTGCTCGAATTAGAGGCTCCTTTAAAAATATGTGGTGAGTTTGTTTTATCAGATGGTTTACGGCAGCAAAAAGAATCATTTTAAAACACTAAAATCACCAAAATGTTTTTTTTTTACCTACTTAACAATAAACAAAGTGTGAACTATTTTAATTAAACAAATAAAGTCTTTTAAAGTAATTTATTTAAAAAAATGACCTGGTTTTTCTTTGTTAAATGAAAGGTATCCAGTTTTATTTTTATTTTGGGGTCGATTTGAAGAAAAATTAAAAAGTATTTTGTTTATTTCCAGTGACTAAAGACAGTTTCCAGGTCAGTCTTTGTTTGAAAAAACTTGCTATATAC